TTAAACATCACAAAAACCCCAAGATTATGACAACCAGACTGATCAAGAACTGGCAAATAGAGGGAGAAAATGTGGAGGCAGCAACATATTTTGTATTTCTAGGCACAGATGCAGACTGCAGCCAGGAAATCAGAAGACATTTCCTCCTTGGGAAGAGAGCAATGACCAATCTCAATAAAATAGTGAAGAGTAGAGACATCACACGGGCAACAAAGATCCGCATAGTTAAAGCAATAGTATTCCCCATAGTAACCTATGGATACAAGAACTGGACCATAAGGAAGGCTGAGCAAAGGAAGAGAGATGCTTTTGAACTGTGGTGTTGGAGGAAAGTTCTGAGAGTACCTTGAACCGCTAGAAGATGCAACCAGTCCATCCTCCAGGAAATAAAGCCTGACTGCTCATTGGAGGGAAGGAGATTAGAGGCAAAGATGAAGTACTTTGGCCACATCATGAGAAGAAAGGAAAGCTTGGAGAAGACAACGATGCCAGAGAAAATGGAAGGAAAAAGGAAGAGGGGCCGACCAAGGGCAAGATGTATGGATGGTATCCTAGAAGTGACTGGCTTGATCTTGAAGGAGCTGGGAGTGGCGACAGCAACAGGGATCTCTGGCCTGGGCTGGTCCAGAAGGTCACCAAAGAGTCAGAAGCGAGTAAACAAATAAACAACAATTCCATGTGGTGCTATTGTGATTAGAATAATCAAACTTTAAGAGTTGGAAGAGACGGCCAAGAGACATTGACAGATGGCCATCCAACCTGTGTTTCTCCAGAAGAGGAGACTCTACCACACTCCAAGGGAGGAGCATTTTCCACTGCCAAACTGTTCTTAGCTCCAAGAAGTTCTTCCTAACCTTTAAGTGGAATCTTTTTTTCTTGCAGTTTAAATCCATCGCCCCATGTCCTAGTCTTTGGAGCAGCAGAAAACAAGCTGGTTTCCTCCCCAATGTGACATCCTTGCAAATATTTAAACTTGCTCACATGTCCCTCCATACCTTCTCTTCTCCAAGATAAACTTACCCAACTCTTTAAGCAGCTGGTGCCAAAGAGCAGGCATTGTCCATAGACACCTCATAGAATCATAGAATCAAAGAGTTGGAGGAGACCTCCTGGGCCATCCAGTCCAACACCATTCTGCCAAGAAGCAGGAATATTGCATTCAAATCACTCCTGGAAGATGGCCATCCAGCCTCTGTTTAAAAGCCTCCAAGGAAGTAGCCTCCGCCACACTCTGGGGCAGAGAGTTCCACTGCTGAACAGCTCTCACAGTCAGGAAGTTCTTCCTAATGTTCAGATGGAATCTCCTTTCTTGTAGTTTGAAGCCATTGTTCCGCGTCCTAGTCTCCAGGGAAGCAGAAAACAAGCTTGCTCCCTCCTCCCTGTGGCTTCCTCTCACATATTTATACATGGCTATCATGTCTCCTCTCAGCCTTCTCTTCTTCAGGCTAAACATGCCCAGCTCCTTAAACCGCTCCTCATAGGGCTTGTTCTCCAGACCCTTAATCATTTTAGTCACCCTCCTCTGGACACATTCCAGCTTGTCAATCTCTCTCTTGAATTGTGGTGCCCAGAATTGGACACAATATTCCAGGTGTGGTCTAACCAAGGCGGAATAGAGCATGGGGAGCATGACTTCCCTAGATCTAGACACTATGCTTCTATTGATGCAGGCCAAAATCCCATTGGCTTTTTTTGCCGCCACATCACATTGTTGGCTCCAAGGTCATGTGGCCAGCATCACTACATGGAGCGCCATTACCTTCATGCCGGAGTGGTACCTATTGATCCACTCACATTTGTATGTTTTTGAACTGCTAGGTTGGAAGAGGGTTAAGGTATAATTAATGAACAAACAATTATGCAAATGAACCATATCATAAAACAAACTATTAGCAAACGATTATGCAAATGAATCATATCATAAAAAGGAATGTTTTAATTAATACCAATCAATTAAATTTAACTATGTAAGATTTTATTTATTTTAAAATTAAATTAATGCAAAAAAAAATGCTTTGCTAAATATCAAAATGTAAACAGTAAAAAAACTCTGAAAAGCGCTTTCAAACTTAGCAATCATAAAATTTTAATGCTCACAATTAGTATTTCTTATCATTAGTATTAGAGAATGCATACCCGAACAACGTTGGTCACATAAGCTGGTTATTAATCAATGGTTTTCATGCCTGGGTCACATTCTCTCAGCCTTGAAACACAATCTCTGCTTCAGAGAAAGGTGCAGACACACTTTTCTTCTGTCAGCAAATTGGCTGACACTGAAACAATGTTAAATCAATTGTTTTTTACAATTTCGATCAGATGTACGTTGTGTTGGACTGATCTAGGTTGGTAAAAGTTTTCCCCTGACATTAAGTTTAGTCGTGTACAACTCTGGGGTGGGGTGCTAATCTCCATTTCTGAGGGGAAGAGCCAGCGTTGTCCGTAGACACCTCCAAGGTCATATGGCCAGCATGACTGCATGGAACACCGTTACCTTCCCGCCGGAGTGGTATCTATTGATCTACTCACATTTGCATGTTTTCGAACTGCTAGGTTGGCAGAAGCTGGAGCTCACAGCAGAAGCTCACCCCGCTCCCTGGATTCAAACCTGCAACCTTTTGGTCAACAAGCTCAGCAGCTCAGCGGTTTAACCCACTGTGCCACCAGGGGCTCTTTCATAAAACAATATTAATTCATAAAACAATATTAATTCAATTTTTTTACAAACAAATATTTCGATCAGCTATATGTTGTATTGGAGTGATACAGAAACTCCTAAATTCCAACCTCAGCCACAAGCAAAATAGTGTCTTATGATGATGCATACTGCTGTTCTTTCCAGCGTATTTTGGAGATCCACACATGTTTTGTTAACCCTCTTTCTCAGGTAGTTTTTATACTAGCCTCTCCTCAAGTTTGTATTATTTTAAACCAGCATAAAATTGGGTAGAATGGGAACAAAATCTAAGTTTCTGATGCGCTTGGATGCACCCTCAAACCAGGAATAGAAAAGCACCAGCTGTTGTCTGTTGGAGTTCCCAGCTAGAAACCACTCCAGGACAATTCTGGTTCATTTCATAGAATCATAGAATCAAAGAGTTGGAAGAGACCTCCTGGGCCATCCAGTCCAACCCCCTGCCAAGAAGCAGGAATATTGCATTCAAATCACCCCTGACAGATGGCCATCCAGCCTCTGTTTAAAAGCTTCCAAAGAAGGAGCTTCCACCATGCTCCGGGGCAGAGAGTTCCACTGCTGAACAGCTCTCACAGTCAGGAAGTTCTTCCTCATGTTCAGATGAAATCTCCTTTCTTGTAGTTTGAAGCCATTGTTCCGCGTCCTAGTCTCCAAGGAAGCAGAAAACAAGCTTGCTCCCTCCTCCCTGTGGCTTCCTCTCACATATTTATACATGGCTATCATCTCTCCTCTCAGCCTTCTCTTCTTCAGGCTAAACATGCCCAGCTCCTTAAGCCGCTCCTCATAGGGCTTGTTCTCCAGACCCTGGATCATTTTAGTCGCCCTCCTCTGGACACATTCCAGCTTGTCAATCTCTCTTGAATTGTGGTGCCCAGAATTGGACACAATATTCCAGATGTGGTCTAAAGCAGGCATGGGCAAACTTGGGCCCTCCAGGTGTTTTGGACTCCCAACTCCTACCATTCCTAACAGCCTCCGGCCCTTTCCTTTTCCCCTTCAGCCGCTTAACTCTCCCATGACCAACAGAAAATATTGGAAGGGTTTGGTGGGCACTACCTTAAGTTTTGGAGTTGTAGTTCACCAGCATCCAGAGTGCACTGTGGACTCAAACAATGATGGATCTAGACCAAACTTGGCATGAATCCTCAATATGTCCAAATGTGAATACTGGTGGAGTTTGGGGGAAATAGACCTTGACACTTGGGAGTTGTAGTTGCTGGGATTTATAGTTCACCAACAATCAAAAAGCATTCTGAACTCCACGAACGATAGAATTTGGCCATACTTCCCACACAGAACCCTGTTCTGGAACAGCTGTACCAGGAGCTCCAATTTTGTTTGCTTTGCATTGAATGTTAGTTTGCAGTCCTAAGTTTCAGGGACTCTGCAGATAGGTGGCTTCTTTTGGCTGCAATCATAGGGCAAGCCACCTGTCAATTATAGTTAGGTTCCCTGGTCCTGCCCCCTTTTTGGGTTTTGGGGGGAATAGGAGCCAGTTTGGGTTCAGTCCACACAGAGAAGCTTCCCATGCAGGACATAATACCAAGAGCTCCTGTAGAAAGCTTCGTCTTCTACGGCTTGGCCGGGGTGGATATACAGCCCACAGCTTGGCCGGGGAGATATACAACCTACAGCCTGACCGGGGTTATACAGCCTTACAGCTCCTTTGCTGAAGGACTTCAGTCAGCCATCACGGAAACCTGAACTCCTTTTCCCCTGGAAGTCTACAAAGCTCTGCTTGGTAAGGGTCACTTGCAGAAGCCAGAAGCAGTTGGTACCGGATGCAGGGGCTCCACGCCATCAGAGGCAAAGACAGACTGCCCAGATTAGAAGTTAAGGATTTCCCTATTAGCTAAAATACAGTTTATGAAGATAGTGCCTGTTCCCTGTGGACAAGATTGAGAGAGAGCCAATAGACTGTTACGAAAGCCTTAAAGTACCGGGTTTGTTTTCATTAATAAAGAACTTTGTTGAACCTTTAAGCAATCTAAAGGCTCTGTTTTAAGGAAATCCAAGGGCCTTTAATCTGAGGCAGCCCCGGCGTCCCATTGGGCACACAGAATTTATGTCCCGTCTACAGTCGTATGCACAGGCCCAGCGTGTGACAGCACAACCCCCATGACCAAAAGAAAATACTGTGTTTTTCTAATGGTCTTTGGTGACTCCTTGACACTCCCTCATGACCCCCCCCCCAGGGGCCCCGACCCCCTGGTTGAGAACCACTGCAGTCTAGCCCCAAAGGATGAGCCTGAGCGCCCATCCAAGAGGGTGAGTGAGTGAGTGGGGAGTCCCTCCTTTGTCCCACCTGCGATGGTCTCCTGGTATCCCTTGGTGAAGAACTGCATAGCGGTGGCGGCCCTCCAAGGGGTCTTGAGGAGTCCCTGGCGCTGGGGGTCCTCGCCTAGGGCGCGCAGGATGGTGGCGTAGGCGGCGGCCAGGCCGGGCAGGTTCAGCTCGTTGTCCTCCTCGCTCCGGGTCCGCTCCTCCTTCCAGCTCTCCGGCGGGGCCCTCTTCGTGCTGGCCCCGGACAGGCTCGGAAGAGCAGCAGTAGCCGCAGCAGCAGCAGGAGGGAGAGGAGGGAGAGGCGGCGCCGGAGAGGGCTGGGGAAGCTTCTCCGCCGGCGCGCCAAACCCGTTGCAGCTGCTGGCGTTGGCAGCTCGGAGGGGCGACCGGGCTTTCATTTTCTCCATGGGCCGAGAGACCCCCAACTCTGCCGACCCCCAAATCCGGAGAAAGGGTCCTCTGCGGGGTGTGAGTACAGCCTCAGGGGTCTCCAAACAAGGTCCCCCTAGGAGCTCTCCAAAGAGATCTCTCCAAAGACAACTTTGGCGCAACTTTCCTTGCTGGAGAGTTTCAGACCCCTCAAGATGGGATCACACTCAGTGTGACACACTCACACACACCTCTTGCCTTTCTCGGGGGGATAACGAAGGGCAGGCGGGGCTCAGGAGCAGCAACAAGCTCCTCGAGGGAAGAGGAGGCTCCAGGAAAGAAGGGACGGATTGGATGCGCGCCTTGGCAAGAAGAGAAGCAAGGCGCGCCTCTTCGGATGGAAACCAAGCAGTGGGAGCGGCTCCGGCAGGGACTACTAAGTCTCCTTCTCTTTCTCCTCCTTCTCCAGGGATTCCCCGACCGCTTCTCCCACCCAGATCCGGGCTCTCCTCTTTATAGACCGGCGAGGAGGCTCCCCATTGGGCGTACCTGCCCGTGCGTCACCGGGACTTAGCAGAGAGGAAGGGCCAAGGCGGAGGGAAGCAAGAGGAGGAGAAGGCGGTGCCGGGGGCGGGAGAGCTTTCCTCCGGCGTCCTGGGGACAAACCACACACCAGTCAAGAACTTTGGAACAAATCAAGAACTTTGGTCCAAAAGCAAGGCGCTGGCTGCTGGAGCTGATGAACAACTGCACCATCCTGTCAGATCCCCAAAATCTGGAGGAAAGCAAGAGTCATCCCATCTTGAAGCCAGGCAAAGACCATAATGACCCAAAAAGCTGCAGACCAATCTCCCTGTTGTGCCACCTCTACAAAGTTCTGGAGAGACTTATTTTGCATAGAATTATGGAAAACATAGACCCCTGTCTGATCCCACAGCAAGCTGGCTTCAGAAAAGGCAAAAGCTGCACATCGCAAGTGCTGAACCTGTCTCATCTCATAGAAGATGGCTTTGAAAGGCAGCAGATCACAGGAGCTGTCTTCATAGACTTGTCAGCAGCCTATGAGACTGTGAACCACCGCCTCCTCCTGAGAAAAATGTATAATATCACAAAGGACGACCACCTCACCCGCCTCATAGGAAACCTGCTACAAAACAAGAGCTTTTTTGTTGAGTTCCAGGGCCAGAGAAGCAGATGGTGGAAACAGAAGAACGGCCTGCCTCAGGGGAGCGTGCTTGCTCCATCCATGTTCAACATCTACACAAATGACCAGCCACTGCCAGAAGGGACAGAGAGTTTCATCTATGCTGATGATCGTGCCATTACTGCTCAAGCAGGGAGCTTTGAGATGGTTGAACAGAAGCCCCACCGAAGCTCTAGGTGGTCTTACTGCCTATTACAGGGAAAACCAGCTGATCCCCAACCCATTCAAAACACAGACATGTGCTTTTCATCTCAAGAACAGAGAAGCATCCCGAGCTCTGAGGATCACCTGGGAAGGAATCCCACTGGAGCATTGCAGCGCACCCAAATACCTGGGAGTCACTCTGGACCATGCTCTTACCTACAAGAAGCACTGCCTGAACATCAAGCAAAAAGTGGGTGCTAGAAACAATATCATACGAAAGCTGGCTGGCACAACCTGGGGATCACAACCAGACGCAGTCAAGACATCTGCCCTTGCGCTATGCTACTCTGCTGCTGACTATGCATGCCCAATGTGGAACACATCTCACCACGCTAAAACAGTTATCACGAGGTGTCTGCGCCCCACACCACTGGAGAAATTACACTGCTTAGCCGGTATTGCACCAACTGACATCCGCCGGGAAGGAGCAGCCAATAGTGAAAGGACCAAGGCAGAGACATCTCCAGCTCATCCCCTGTTTGGGTATCAGCCAGCATGTCAATGACTTAAACCAAGACATAGTTTTCTAAGATCTGGAACACCTCAGCAAGCGAGAGTCCAAAAGTGGCAGGCTCAAACCCAGCACCTCAAACAATGGCTGATACCCAATGAGAGACTCTCCCCTGGGCACACAGAGGACTGGGCGACTTGGAAGGCGCTGAACAGACTGCGCTCTGGCACCACGAGATGCAGAGCCAACCTCAAGAAATGGGGCCACAGAGTGGAATCCACGGCATGCAAGTGCAGAGAAGAGCAAACCACTGACCACCTGCTGCAATGCAACCTGAGCCCTGCCACATGCACAAGGGAGGACCTTCTTGCAGCAACACCAGAGGCACTCCAAGTGGCCAGATACTGGTCAAAGGACATTTAACCAACTACCAAACTCACAAGTTTTGTATTTGTCTGTTTGTTTGCTTTGTTCTGTTAGAAATGTAATATAATTGACTGGTTGCTGATGACTCAATAAATAAATCTATCTATATAAAAATGCTCCGTGCATAATGAGTACCTTAAAAACAAAAGAACCAATGAACGAAATCACACCAAATTTGGCAACAAAACGTCTCACAACACAAGGAGTGACCATCACTCAAAAAATTATGATTTTGTCATTTGGGAGTTGTAGTTGCTGGGATTTATAGTTCACCTATAATCAAAGAGCATTCTGAACTCCATCAACGATGGAATTGAACCAAACTTGGCACACAGAACTCCCGTGACCAACAGAAAATACTGGAAGGGTTTTGGTGGGCATTGACCTTGAGTTTGGGAGTTGTAGTTCGCTAACATCCAGAGAGCACTGTGGACTCAAACAATGATGGATCTGGACCAAACTTGGCACAAGCACTCAGTACACCCAAATATGAGCACAGATGGAGTTTGGAGGAAATAGACCTTGACATTTGGGAGTTGTAGTTCAACTACATCCAGAAAGCACTGTGGACTCAAACAATGATGGATCTGGACCAAACTCGGCACAAATACTCAATACACCCAAATATGAACACAGATGGAGTTTGAGGAAAATAGACCTTGACATTTGGGAGTTGTAGCTACTGGGATTTACAGTTCACCCTCAATCATAAAGCATTCTGAATCCCACCAGTGATAGAATTGGGGTGAACTTCCCACACTGAACCCCCTTGACCAACAGAAAATACTGAAGGCCATCCAGTCCAACTCCCTTCACCAGGGCAAGAAAACATCTTCAAAGCCCTCCTGACAAAGAGCCATCCAGCCATAGATATGGATAGATAGATATGATTCACACACACACACACAGTATCATAGATTTGAAAGGGACCATTAAAGAAGGACAATGATATGATGCATGTTCCAGAGTAGGCAAACCAGACAATCTCCACATTGACACTGACAAAGAAACAACAAGAAATACTGTTTACCCAGAAGCATAAAGACATTACATATATTAGAAACCAACACTTTCTCATCACTTTATTTTCCAGATCACCAGACTGGGCCACAGCAACACATGGAAAGGGACAGCTAGTGCTTTATAATGGAGTGGACAAAGAGTTGGGTTGTTGTAGGTTTTTTCGGGCTATATGGCCATGGTCTAGAGGCATTCTCTCCTGACGTTTTGCCTGCATCTATGGCAAGCAGGTAGTGAGGTCTGTTGGAACTAGGAAAAAGGGTTTATATATCTGTGGAATGACCAGGGTGGGACAAAAGACTCTTGTCTGCTGGAGCTAGGTGGGAATGTTTCAACTGACCACCTTGAGTAGCATTTGATGGCCTGGCAGTGCCTGTAATAAAACATAATTCAATAAATACTCATTAAAACAATGTCCAATCCATCTTGTAGTTGATTCCATTCTTATGTCCGTTACTCAGTATTCACAAAGGCCTGCTCAAATAGCCATGTTTTCAGTTTTTTCCCGAAATTCTAAAAGCAAAGAAGCCGATCTAATCTCCATAGGAAGGGCATTCTATAGCGGAGGGGCCACCACTTAGAAGGCCCTGTCTCTCATTCCCACCAGCCAAGAGCAGGGCCTCTCCAGACGGCCCTGCTCGGAGGTTCATAAGGAGAGATGAGTTTGGACACGTAAGTTGGGCCAGAACCGTTTAGGACAGTGGTTCTCAACCTGTGGGTCCCCAGGTGTTTTGCCCTACAACTCCCAGAAATACCAGTCGTTTTACAAGCTGTTGGATTTCTGGGACTTGAAGGCCAAAACATTTGGGGACCCACAGGTTGAGAACTACTGGTTTAGAGCTTTATAGGCCAAGGCCAGCACTTTGAATTGTGCCCGCTAGCAGACTGGCAGCCAGTGGAGCTGGCGCAACAGGAGAGTTGTATGCTCCCTGAGAGCTGCTCCAGTTAGCAACCTGGCTGCTGTCTGTTGGACCAGTTGAAGCTTCTGGACAGTCTTCAAAGGCAACCCCACGTAGAGAGCGTTGCAAAAACTGGGTTCTTTCACCTTGATTAGAAGGCTCCTCAGCTCCTCCTCACTTTTGGCCATCAAAGTGGTATCATCTGCATATCCAAGGTTGTTCATGTTTCTTCCAGCAATTTTAAGGTAGAGTATAAAAATAAAGTTATTAAAAGTTATAATCCTAGTGATGCCACCAGTCAACCTGAAAGCCATTAATAAAGGGAGATACAGGGGTACACCCCACGCCAAGTGGCACCATCAGAGGAAAGCTGACATCCAACTATATCATTTTTGTACAGTGTTTCAGCATATTTTTTTAAATTCCTGTAATTAGCTATAACTACAAAAACATTATTTGTAAGCCCAGCTGTCATGAACCGTATCATTATACATATGCTAGAAGACATATGGCTATTTAGACAGCATCACTCAGAAATGCCTTATGTGTTGGGCATGTTATGGTAACAGCTCTCTGTATGGAATTGACAGTTCTCTTGAGAAGAGTACAAGTGAAATATGCACTTGATCATCAGAAGCTGTTTGTGTTCTTGTATCAAATTCCTGCAGTTTCATAATTGTAATACTGATATGTTGTATGTTTTACTTATACTGTACACATTTTAATGTATAAGTCACTCTGGACCGTGTTCTTACCTACAAGAAGCACTGCCTGAACATCAAGCAAAAAGTGGGTGCTAGAAACAATATCATACGAAAGCTTACTGGTACAACTTGGGGATCACAACCAGACACAGTGAAGACATCTGCCCTTGCGCTATGCTACTCTGCTGCTGAATATGCATGCCCAGTGTGGAACACATCTCACCACACTAAAACAGTGGATGTGGCTCTTAATGAGACATGCCGCATTATCACGGGGTGTCTGCGCCCTACACCACTGGAGAAATTACACTGCTTAGCCGGTATTGCACCACCTGACATCTGCCAGGAAGTTGCAGCCAATAGTGAAAGGACCAAGGCAGAGACATCTTCAGCCCATCCCTTGTTTGGGTATCAGCCAGCACGTCAACGACTTAAATCTAGAAATAGTTTTCTAAAATCTATAGAGACACCTCAGCAAGTGAGAGTCCAAAAGTGGCAGGCTCAAACCCAGAACCTCAACCAATGGTGATACCAGATTAGAGACTCCCACCTGGGCACGCAGAGGACTGGGCGACTTGGAAGGCACTGAACAGACT